GTCCACTCATAATAAATCGGTTAAAAATATTTTTTTTTTTAACATCAGGGTTACATCTGAGCTGTCTCATGTAAATTTTATCACGATCCGATGAAACCTCTTATAAACATATAAGCAGCATACATTCATAAATTTTTTTTTTTGGATGTGAAAATTTTTTTAGGCGCGTTTTGCACTTTTTTGGGAGAGTGAATTAAATTGTTCCGTCAGATTTCCGAATTTTTAACGCTCGGGAAAAATCGGCTAGAATCGACTTATTGAAATATTTTTACGCACGGATTAAAATATCTCAGTAACTAAAAATCGAGCCTCCATACTGTAAGCGAGGAGATTATTCAGCATTTCATACTCTCTGTAAAAGGCTATAATTCAAAATTGTATCTTAACGCGACGCCGTGTCAAGGAGGCGTATAAGAAAAAATAGTGTCGAAAACGAAATGGTAACGAGGTTAGTTCAACATATGGATTCAAATATTTCAGTTACTAAAAATCGGATAAGTATACTGTAAGCGAGGAAAATGTTCAACATTTCATCTTCTTTTTAATGTGCTATCATTTATAATTTATATTTCTTATTATTAATCTGGCCTTGTTGATGTTTTCACTTATATTGTGTGTTCTAAAGCACACACCATAGGTTTTTTTTTTAAATCAGTACCCTGATTCCTTGTTTCTCGATCACTTTTTGGAGAACTTTCCGCTCAAACCTTTTAATACTTCTTTCTTAGAAGTCACCGTCAAATATCAGAACGGGCTTTATTCAGATCATTGCACACCCTTAATTTGAGATTTCTAAAGATTTTTCGGAATTTTAATAACTTTTAAAGAGAGAAGAAAGCTCTGTTTGCGGATTATTATTCACTGAAGCTAAAGTTTTTTAATCTATCTACTTTCAAGAATAGTTTCCCTTCTGTACAGTCCCTACTTGATGGATTTTTCTGATTTTTATATTGGATTTCGCTTTATCTTCATCTACTCTTGTATAACGATTTGTTCTGCTTCTCTTATTATCGTTTTAGAGAGTCGAGCTATGCTCTCTTGACTTTTTCCTAGAACAGTCGATGATTCAATCTGTTTATCCTAATTTTTTTCATTCATTTCAACTTGCACTTTTTCATTTTCATCTTATCTAAGTTGAAGAGTATAGGCGAGACTCCATCTCTCTTAATTCGAAAACCAATTCGAACTGAAAAATATTCAGATACTTGTACCAAGACGCGAAATTGATTTGTCTGCTCCTTCATTAATCTCATTAATTTCCCGGTATCTCTTATCTCAGTCATATATATATACGTATATACAAAAAAATGTGATAAGAAATATGGTTAATGGTAAACCTCAATATTTTTTTTTAATTTCCGTTCCAATTCTTACACTTTAGTGCTTCTATTATTATTTCATGATTGCTCATTCAGTAGTGTAGTGAAGATTCCACTCATTTATAATTCGGTCAATTTGACCTTTATTAAAAGCATAGTTTTAGTCTCCAGATTAAAAATGAAACCACTTTTGGTGTACGGGTAAAGTATTTCTCAACTCTGAAACCACTATCAGGATTCGTTTTTCTTTCATGATAAAAACTAATTTTGGCCACTTACCTCTCGGTTGAATGGAGAGGTAAGTGGCCAAAATTAATAAGGTTCTAATGATCAAATCGACTTATAAATGAGTAGGATTTGCACTACACTAATTAATGAGCAATCACAGAAGTACCAAGGATGTAAGAAGTTGCAAAATACATCAAAAAGTTTACTAAGATTGAACGGAAATTAAGAAAAAAAAAATTTAAGGTTGGCCATGAACTACATTTATTTATTTATAAAAATAAAATTATTTTTTATTTTATTTTTTTGTAATTTCAACTGAAATTTCAATGTAAAGAGCAGTTTCAATGAAATGAGCTGTTCCTTAGGTAAATTAACTAGTCTGAGTACTTGTTTCAAATTAAATGCTCACTTGAATGGTCCTTAAAGGAAATCATGGTTCCCGAAGAAGGATCGCTGTGGAAGGCAATTAGTCCCATCGGTAAACAAGGGTACTTCCTTGTTTGATATGACCCAACCTCTAGCCTTTCTACTCAAAGGGAATAATTAAACGACCATTATTGTCAGGTGGCTCGTGTTTCTATCGCGAAAGTATTTAATTCTCTACAGTAAAATTTTATTTATTCTTATACATATTTTACAAACTAATACTATTTACAGTAAAACTTCTCAGTAATGGACAGCAACGTGAAATCAATTTTTTAAGGCTATAGAATGATGTCCATTTTAGAGAAACCATTGTAAAAATAAAACAAGACAATAAATAAAAATTGGCAGATAAAATTGTATTTTACGATTCATATACATCGTTTATTCAATTGAAAATATTTTTATAAGCTTTTCTAATAATAATATCTCAATTAAATTCTTTTAATAAACATTCTCTGCTTACAGAAATAAAAGACGCAGGTTATAAGGTATTGTTTTTATGGCTACCTGTTCATAGTGGAATGGATGGAAATGAAATGCTAGATACACAGTCAATGCTAACGATAAAAAGTGGTCAAATGATTTCAACAACTGATCAAAACGGTTTAATATCTTAGATCTAGGGAAAGGGGTGATTGGAGTGGCAGAATAAATGGTTTGACATGAGGAACAATAAAAAAAAGTAAGAATGATTCAATAATACCTAAATTATCCTAAGAAAAATCTACAGTTGACACAGAGAAAAGATGTGGTTCTTACTCGCCTCAGGATTGGACATAGACGACTCACTCATGTCTACTTAATGAACAAAGAAGTACCGCCAAAATATACTTTTTGTGGGTATAATATAACAGAACATACACTAACAGAGTGTATAGCTCACGACTCATGCAAATTTTCTACAAACCCAGAACATTTTTTTTTTTTTTTTTTTATTAAACGCCTCTGCCATTGGCTATTAGGCCATTCGGCTCCTGGCAGCCCAATACAACTCCGCCATGAATCCTTTTCCATACATCTAACTGTACAGCCTCCAATTTATCATTCTCTTCCATCTTCTGTTTAATTGAAAAGGCTACCTTGAGGAATGATTTAGCAGCGACAATTATTCCTGATGCAACCTGCCTGGATCTCTGCAGTTTATAAGTTTGATATCCCGGTAATTGGTAGAACTGGATATTTTCAGTGGATGAACCGGCTTCTACGATCCCATATAAATCAGCATCCTCCTTTGTAATAATTGTCTTCAATTCTGTGAATTTGTCAGCAGTTAGGCAACCAGCGTTCCTCAACATAGCCTTAAGCTGTGTGTTGACTGGGCCTTTTGGTTTCCTTAATTTTGATGGATTCATATTTTTGTGGATTCTACGATGTTGAACTGTCTTTGCGGCGACAATATTGCTCATTTAGTTATAACCGGAGGGCACGTGTACAATGTACGGACGCCAGCAAAGTTACCCAATTTTTATTAAAGCTTTTTAGTTTAAAGTTTAGTTTAAACAAACCCAGAACAAATATTGTGACATGACCCAGAAACGATATCAAGACTTATAATTTTTTTAAATGATCTGCATATACAATAACATATGTTGAACTGCAAGACAAAACAGTGACTAAATGATCTCAGTGGTCGAAACACTCAAATAAATAATAATAAAAGTGGCCTCATGAAACGTGACGTAAACTTTTGCCTCTGTATTTTTTGTTAAGATTTATTTGTACATAATTATTTTATTTTACAAATTTGTAAGGATGGATCAAATCAGTACAACTTATTCGACCTTTGTTCGAAATTAATATATTGTGTGATTGAGCTTCTTCCGTCTTCATTGCGTTGGATTGGTTGATGAAATACCAGGATTTGAAGAGTATTCAGTTTTACATACATTCGTTAGTAACTTCAATTTTTTACTTTTCAAGTCTATTGGAAGCGAGTTTACTTTTTTATAAACAAATCAGTTAAAGTAATAACAAAAGATAAGAACTGTGACCCCTGGTTCAAATTTCAACTATATATAACTGATCTAAACTACTATAAATTGTATATATTTTTTTTTTAAATATGATCCTCACTGGCGAACTGCTGTCCGTTATGGAGAAACTTTGGAATCAACGTCAATCTTTCCGCGTTCGTTATAGAGAACGTTCGTTATGCAGAAGCCATACTGTTTTTTTTTTTTTTTCATTATTGACACTTTTTTTTTTTTTCTTTTTTTTTTTTTTTCTAGAAATATAATAATCTGTCACGTGGACAATAATTATATATACACACCATATATAGAGAAAACATAAAATTAACAAAAGTAAAATAATAACTAAATTACAATCAAACAACTGTGTACAATAAAAAATAAAATAACGTAAAGATAAGTAAATTAAAAACTCAGTCATACCTATATACAGTATATACACATTTATACTGTAAAATTATTAAAATTATATAGGGATTATGAATATTCCCGTAGAACAGAAATGTCCGCTACAGAGAAGTATCCTACGGGAACTTTCACTCTATGTGGTTTTGTGAAGTCACCTGCATATGAGTTGCAATACATTTAGTTAAAATCTTAATAAGCAAATTCCTTCTTTAGGAAAAAAATATAGATTAGAGACACTATTTTTTTTCCATTCGTTTTATTTACAATTCTTTCCTTCTTATTATTATTATTAAATCTGTAAACGATTGATGGATAGGTTAAGCAAATTTGTTCGTATACCTAACGTTCTGAAATATTTGCTCTGTCGTGATTGCGGAGAACAGCTCCGATGCCTTACGTATTTCTTTTTCCTTGTGAATCATCGGTCTTCTCGACTATTGCCACTCATCCATTCTTCGTAAATTGTTACTTAATCACTAACACTTAATAAATAAAAAACAATTAATCATTTATTATAGAACTTGTCTGATCGCATAAATTACTATATTTCAGTTCTGAGTAAAATGCAAAGGTTTATAAGGAAATTAAATTGTGATTCTTATTTTTGTTGGTATCCTTCTACAAAATTAATCTCTTCCTCACAGGTGAGATGTGTGAGAACGAAAGGACGAGGCTGGTCGTCCTCGGCGGACCTGCCGTCGGGAAGACAGCCATCGTCAAGAGGTTCCTCTACTCCACTTTCACGGAGAAGTACAGGAGTACTGTCGAAGATCTTCACAGCAGGCAGTTCGATCTTGGGCCAATCACGATTAAGGTAATCAACAAATTTATAATTTTATATTTCTTGGTATAATTGAAATGTAAGGAATATGATCAGGGAGCAGGGTAACTCAATGGTAAGGCACTGTCTTCCAAGCTCAAGGTCCCGGATTCGAATGCGGTTGATGAAGTATTATTCATCAACTGTAGATCTTTACTCCTCCTTTCCCCCATATTCCAATGGCTAAAAGTTAAATTACTGTAAAAATATCAAGAATAGTTATGGATAAATGTTACCAACTACAATGCTTAGGGATCACCCAATAAATATTTTATTAAAACTTATTTTATTTACCAGATTGCTATCTACAAGATCTCCTGATATTTCTTTGCCAGTTTTGAAACGATATTCTAAAAACAATCGCACCATTAAGCTGTCAGATTGTTCTCCTCCCACTTTCTTTTTTTCACTCCATGATGTATTTTTTTTCTTCTTTTTATTTCAAAACTATTGGTGGTACCTTGTCCTCGTTACTATTTCCCGTGAAAAATCCTTCACTCCACGTAACGTCATAAGTGTAGTGTACATAAATGTACCTACCATGTAAAAATTGACCTATCGAGAATAGGTGATGAAATTTCTATGGCCGGCACTTTATATATAACTCTACAACTTACGTGACTGCTAAAAAAAACAGAAGGATCTTGTGCTTAGAACTTGATGAGAAAAATCTGTCTCGTCCAACGGTTTTAACCATAATATATACTCTCATTCGCTTTCGATAGTCAGTTTTTTACCACAACCTATAAAACTATCGGGTTTCAAATTTCTTTCACGGCTGATGTTTGAAAACATTGTAAATTTACTGTTTTATCCGAATCCAAACTAGAGTATTAGGTCTTGTTTCTAAATTTTACCAGATGGTAAGTTAAACAGCATTACCAGATATTTACAGAAGGGCCAAATTATTTTATTTACTCAGAAGATTCCAAACTATTGTCCATCCGACATAAACTCTAACAGCAAATATAATGTGGTACTCCATTAAGACTTGGGATTAAGGCTAACAAGAACGAATATTTACTAAAAATGTGTAGTGGAACAAGTGAAATTGCCTAGATGGAAAATGTAATAAGTAGAAACAAAAATAAGAAAGATTTAAAATATATCAATCTAGATTTAATAATTCCTTTTGATTTTAAAAGGGAGTGGGGTAGCTCAGTTCGAATCCAGCTGATGGGTAATAAATTATTTATTCTGTTTCGTCGGCCGTGGATCTACTCTGGGTTCGGAAAACCCTTTTGATGCACAACTAGCCTCAATAAAAGTGGATACTCTTAACTAAACAATTAATAAAGGGAGGAAACCTGACGGTTAAGCGTGATCTCGGTCAAATCACCTCCTTGCACAACCCTTGTCCAATTCATTTGATCACTTTTTCCTTACAAAGTCTTTTTTTTTTTTTATAAGTGATCCAAACAAAATACATAAAATATCACTATATATTCGCTTTTTAAGTTATAATGCATATACTGCTATTAAATGTAAGCACGTGTCAAGAAACATATTCTCCCTAATCATTGTTCTTCGTGTAATCACTGTTGTTTTTTGTTTTAACAAGCCTTACAGAACAATATTGCATATAGGTAGTTTTCCCAAGGCCCATACATGACTTAAATAAATACATATTTATTTCACCAGATCAGTACCAGGTACAGGTCTAGGGATGGGGGCCTTGCATGTTCTTTCTTCCCAGGCTAACCAGGTCAGTGAACAAAAAATAAAACCAATCGATAACAAGCTTTGAGGTTAGAAAAGATGATGCAAAAATTTAATCTAACCGTTACATAATAGTTAAAACATAAAAGATGGAGCGTTTAGGAATTTTTATTAGATCATTCAATATGCCTATGGCAATTAATTTTTAAAACTCTGTTCTTCATATAATGGGTTCTTTTTTTCAGAACTGTAGATTAATGTCTTCCTATTCATCTGCGAGCTAGTTGTTTGCTTAGCAACAGTTTTCCTTCTATTGTTCCACCTCTACTACCTTCTACAACACAATAAAGCGCCATTAAACAAGAAAGTATGAAATTTATTAGGAGCTCAAGGAAAAAGGAAAGAAAAAAGCTGTTTGCGCTTATATTAATTTCTTCCCTTTTAGCTTTATGAGTTTAATAATTTTTTAAGAGAACTCGACGAATTTATTAAAGCAAGTCTGTCAACCCCATTGTTTTCATTAAATGTAATCAAATTTGTTATATAGTGTACAACGTCACTGAATTTTTTAATTTTCAATCCATTTACTAATATTCCATTTTTTTTTTATTAAATTTAAAAATACATTGACGTCGTACTCGGCCATTTTTTCCTTTTGTATATATGATTGATAACATCATAGATTATTGTTTGTCATTTTTTTTATTTTAATTTACACTGATGTTTTTATTGGACTTTTTTTTGAGTTGTCCAGTTTCAGGTGTGAAAAAATTGGATAAAACAAATTATTAAAAGTCGTTGCCTGAGATATATTAACTTCGGTGTAGATTCATTGATTTCAAATCAAATTTTTAAAAAAGAAACGAATTAGCTTAATTTGAAATTCGTTTCCTATTAATTTAAAAATAAATAATTTCATATAAAAAATCTGGTGCACGAGACATACAACTTTCACTTACCGCTCAACTTTGCATAGAAATTATTTTCTGGCCATTTTGGACTATTATAAAATTTTTGAATTGCATTTTTAACTGAGCTAAAACTAAAAGATTGCAGCTAAGAAATCATAAATACTATTAAAATAACAAAAGTCCTATTTATTATATCATCGGTTGATTATGGATTGCTCGACCGTTAGTTATTCAACTGTTATTTTCCATTGCAAAGTTTACTAAAAAGGAATGGAGAGATTTGTGTTGTCTGTCTTAGGCAGGTCAAAAGTTGTCACACTAATTGTAGTGTGGAAACTGTAGGAATATCATAAAAAGAAATTTCATCAAACTATTCACTAATTTAATTTTCTAAAAGGTTACATGATGATTTTTCGAAATAAACGGACGATAGATACCTAAATATTTAAATATAATATCAGATCTAAATTTATTAAACTACAGTAAATATATTGAAGGTTATAAACGTATCTATAAAATATTTTTATATTTCACTTCTTGTTTCACACAAGTGCAATGAAATAATAGAGGGTACTATTGGAATATCATAATGAGAAGATTAATCAAATTTGATTTTTTTAAAAGTTACATAACAATATTTCGCAATAAACGGACGTTGATAGCTAATTATTTAAATATAATATCAGATCTAGAATTATTAAACTACAATAAATGTATTTAAGGTTATAAACATATGTTTTATACATCCATGAAATGATATTATATTTTGCTTCTTCTTTCACACAAGTACAATGAAATAGTTTTTTAAACAATGCCATTGCCTTGATTTGGTGAATTTTAAATATTTTTTTCAAGCTTAAAAATATTTTAAAAGTTTACATTTAGTTAGTAAATTTCATTTAATTTTTTTCAAAATATATGATCTACGTTAAATATCATTAATTTAAAAGAATTATTATTTATTTTTTTTTTTTTTTGGCATTCTCCGTTATCTCCTACAACTTTATATATTAGATATTTTTTTTTCTAAAATTCACCGCTTTCCAACAATATATTATATGTATACCTTCTGACTAGTATTTCCGGAGATTCATTTTCGACCTGGAAAAGCATTTTTATTTTTTTCTCCTTTATTCAATTATCAAATTCTTTCAACAGTTATATTTAGAATTTTTTCGTAACTCTTAATAATGAGAGATAGTTAATTATTTAAAATAAACCATATTAAAGGTACTTTAAAGGAAAACGCATATGAACATTGGGCATTTAAGCCCTGTAAAGTGACATCAATGAGGATAAGATCTAAATGATATTAAATACCACTTAATTATATACCGAGTTTAAACAAAATCGTTAGAGCCGTTTTTTAGAAAATTGTAAACATTTGGTTCACCATTGATATTCAAAGGCACTTCCGGTTAGCCGATTTTAAGGGAAACGTTGCTGTCACATCTAAGGCATATCCCTATCTTAAATAGGTAATATCAGTTTCGTACTGCTTTTCGTTTTTGACCTAGACTGCTAACATACAAACACACTGACACACAGACCATTTTTCGAGACTTGGTTATTTAGACTCATAGTACGCTAAAACTTGTATTTCCGTCGATATTACATATATACGTAAGTGGAAGTAATAAAGTATCAATCCAAGTTGTGCTGGATCGTGCTTTCCGAAACGAATGTTATATAATACAGCTCCCCAATAATGAAAAGCTACAACGGAAAAAAAATTTCTTTGTATATTAATTGAAAATCTTAGATAATATTGGTTATTGTTATAATTATTATTTTTACATTTTAAAGGAAATACATTTCTCTGAAATTCAAATAAAACAATATTACCAAAGTGCATGGCAAAATTGTTATTGACTTAAAATACTAAAAAAAAAAAGTCATAAAAGTTTTCTGTTTTTTCTCAATAACTTCAATATATAGAACGAAAAATAATGAGTTTGTTAGTATCAATAGTTGTAAAAGTTATACTAAAAGGGGCTTGAAAAATTAATGTTTTTTTTATATATATATGATATGGGACATATTTGAATTTATTTTAATTCTCCAGTTTTGACACCATTCTTTAAGGTTGTGATAAAGTGTTTAGGATGCAATGGTTGGGTCATTATTAACGGTTAGGACACATGTATCATCGGCATACGTGGTAATAACAGTGTTAGGATTAGTTGGGATGTCAACTATATAAATTGTCTATAAGATGGGATCTGGGTTACTACCTTGAGGAACACCAGCGGACTGGCTGAAGTGGGATGAATAAGCATCATTGTGATTTACTTTGAAGTATTTACCGGTTAGATAGGAACGGATGATGAGGAAGTACATAGAGTGTAGGAATTTACTGACTTTGTAAAGCAGTCCCGGGTGCCAGACTCAATCAAAAGCCTGTCCTACGTCAAGAAAGACCCT